AGTTTCAATTAATTCCTTAATTTGCCAAAAGTGAGTTCTTCTGTTTATTGCCTGAAAAATATCTTGTTACCTATTCTTATGTGGTTAAAGAATAACGGTATTTGAGTCTCCACCGAAAAAAAGCTCAAAACTTTGATGAAAGCCTCAATTCAGCCAGAAAAATCACGAGTAGTTGGTAACAAGAGAGAGGCAAATATCTTAAAGCTTTATATCAAACTCCATGAAGCAATGAAAAGGCTATTTATCATGAATACCAGCTTTGCTTTTGTGAAAATTCATATGGAAATTGCACTGGCCAAAATACGCTTTGCTGACAAAGGGTAGGAAAGTTCTTTTTTATATTAATCATGATGAACGGGACGTTTTGTGCAGACTTTCTGCTGCAATTTTCCTCTCTTTCTGACTTGAGAGAGCTTCGATCAGCTCTCATTGTTAAGGGTGTCTTCAAGTTTTCCTCAGTTATACCGCTATCATGTTGAACATTGCGCTAATGTACCCCATGCAAAAAGCTTCATCTTTGCCAAAGAATTCGAAAACATTGTTGCTCAGTCTTGCTATTTCTGATTTTGAAGCTGGTTTATTTGCTCAACCTTTTTATACTTTCTGGTCAAGTGGCTTCAACTGGAGAACCCTAGCTGCATCGCTCATCAAATGCTGAATACTTCTGGCTAATTCTTTCTGTTCACTTCGTTCCTCGGTGTTGTGGCTGTTATTTTAGACAGGTTCTTAGCTATTTATCTTCATCTCAGACACAGGAACTTGTGACAGACAAGGGTGTGATTATTGTAGTGATCTCTATGTGGATGTATAGAGCATTTGATAATTCTAGTGCAAGTCTTTTTTTTTCTTGAGAGTAGCCTTGGGTTCACTCTTAAATTTTTGGTTTACATCAGGTATATTTCACTGTTCGACGGCACAACAGTCAGATGCAATCTATGCAAGTACAAGATAAAATTCATTCTGGTGATGTGAGATACTTTGCCGCCATTGTCAAATTCGCAGTCAGTATATTCTACATATATCTGTTTTTTTTTTTTTTCTTTTTGAATAGTTTGCTTTTTCCTTTCTTTATATGCACTGCTGTTATCAGAAACCCTGGTTTCTTTTCGAAAAAAGTTGTCTCCTCTCCCTGACTTTAACACTCGTTAATTCAAACTTGAACCCCATTAATTACCGCTGGAAAATGAGACACATTCGACGCGCTGTCATAGACATACCACGAACATGTCTCGTTTCATTTACAGTCGGTCTTCAAATGTCGTCCATCTTGATAAATGAAGCCTTCTGTGTGATTAAAAAAGGACTTTGTGCAGTTCGTGCAGTTCGAGCTCGACAGAGTAAATAGGGAGAGACGAGAATCGACATGTATACCCATTGATATGATGCGATAGCCGAAAAAACTTTGCATTCATGATCAATTGCAACTTTGGAGTGAAACAGCGTCAAAAGAATCTATTTCATTGTACCACGGTATTCCTTCCTATTTAATATCATAAAACGAAAAGGCAAATCAAAGAAATTGATAGAGAAACTAAACTTTGAATAAGGGTTTGCCATCTCTTGATATTTTAAGCCGTAACTGCAAAATTTTTGGCCGCACTAATACCTAATGCGCGAAAAAGAAGCTCTTGCTCTTGAATTACTTTCTAACTTCCTTCCAGATAACACTTCCCTTTACAATTTCAATGCATTACCAAAGAAGACAGATGAAGAGAATTACAATAATTGATCAAATAGGAGAAATTCGTATTGATTTTGAAATATTTTCTTGCAAATGAATTAGCACTGAAATGTAAGCCGGATATCAGCAAGGAGGAATTACACATCAGTTTAGGTGAAGACGTCTTATAATAATTTGAACGCAAAGAGCTTAAGGTATCCATTCGATAGCGGATAGATGAAGACATGCTGTTTAAGTAATTCAATTGTAAATATTTCAATCGACAGCTGTATTTCAGAATTTTGCAAATTGAATAAATTGGGTGGCCTTGTTTTGTTTTGTCATCTATGTTTTTTTTGTTTTTTTGTTTTTGTTTTTGCGGAAGTGATTAAAATAGACCACCAGTTCTGTTTCCTATTTGGCAACCTAATCAGATTACTTATCATAAATTATTTCTCATTGACGGAAACAGATTGGAGACTGTTTCAGTTTGTGGGTTGACCTTAATCACAGATTCATCGAACTTTGCCAACTCAATTCCATCATTTCAGGCGTGTTAAAAAAAGCAGCCGCTCCCACAAGATTTCCGGTCCCACAGGATTTCCTGGTTTGTGATGCACAACTGAATGATAACAAATGAGATTTCCCAAAGTTAACTTTATCTGACAGCTGAACCGTTATACTTTATAGCTTTAATGCTTATTGCACTATAATAACGTACTCTATTCGAAGGAACTTTTAGCATTTCAATATCATAGTTATTCATCTACTTGAGAAAAGGAAATCAATCGTTTGTGTGTCAGTGACATATTTGCAATGTTAAAGATATTAGAGATATGAAGCACATGGAGACATTTAACAAAAGGAATTATCTAACTTCAGTCTTATTTCGTGGCTCTTAACACTACATGAAACTCTACCTTAATAACTCACTCTCTCAGATTCTAGTATGTGGAATACAAAGCACTTTTTCACAATTTTATCGCAGATTCGTTATTGACATCTAAACGTATCACAAGTTCTGTCTCTAATTAACTTGAATAGAGGTCGGTCCTAAGAAGTTGTTATGATCCAATTATGAATCTCGTCTTTTACTGGCACTCGTATGGAATTGGAATGTCTGTTTACTTTGCTCCTGTTTAAGAAAAACAAGTTAAATCTCAAAATGTACCTAGCGCAATTTCAACCCCGTCATTAGAGTCATCCTCCATTGACAAGACGGTTATCTTACCCCTGCCGTTTGGAATTACTTATTGTAGTATTCCTAGTTATTCATACAATAATTTGTAGACCACTGCTGTGATACGCAACGACTACTCTGAAATAATACTTATAGATATTATCTATAAATACGATTAAAACATATTTCGTGGCTCTTAAGCCGGTCTACATCAAGCTAAGTCTTAATTATTAACTGTTTCAGAATCCGGTGTATGGAGGATTAACGACATTTTTCCATTTAGTCACAAATCCCCTAATCGAATTAGAAACCGAGCACTTATTTCTCCTCAATGCCATACGCAGCTCTCACGAACTAGTAAGTTCTCGAACACCTGACGACCACTCTCGATAGAATTGATGCAATTAATATCGTCAGAAGTGCTTGAATTTCACAACTCATAAAGGAATTGGTGCATAGAACATATGTGCACGCAGCTCTGTGAGCTACTTAAACTCAGCGGAAAGTTGAGTCTAGTCAGTTTCGACAAAACCTTGTCACCCGTACATTTTCTTTAAAGTTGCTCAATTTTCATTTCAGACGTCATCACAACTATTACTTTTTGGCAGCATTTTTGAGTAACATTGCATACAACCTCCGAACAATTACAATGAGAGGCATTCAACAAGGAATAGGTATGTGAAATGTTGCTTTTTGATATACAATTTGCATTTTATGGATAGGTCTGTCAAAAACTGAATCAGTGCTTAGATGTAATGCTTACTTTTTCAAATAGAGGACTTTTGTACATTCACGACATTTAAGCTGAAGCCATTGAATATGAAGAGGCCAAGGGTTGTACCAACTTTCAACCCGTACCACTCCTAATCTTGCACACAGCAAGAACTTTTGAAAAGTCCACCATGTGTCATCCATTTTTTGGAACAGAACTCGAGCTCCAGACGTTTCAGAAAGTTTTTTGATGGCTTGCCTGATGAAAGGCAGTCCGTCGAAATTTTATGCTGGTGGTGAAGTATAACTAAATAGCTTCCTTCAAAGTATCATGTAAATAATTGGCTGATTTATCGCCCTTCGTGCCGAATTTTGCCTGGCCTAAGATTTAAATATTTCCCATTTTTCTTTTTTCCTTATTTTTGATTTGTTCGTGTAAAAACATTATAACGAGGATAGTAGCTTGGAAGGTGTAGTTTCGATTTACATTAAAAATCCACTTTAAACATTTTAACTCAGGATTAACACTGAATTACATTCGTATAATTATATTGTGAGGCATCCAAGGTAAGAGAAAGTAAGTCCTGTGAAATTTCTCTTGTCCTGTCTAAAGTCCAAAGTTGTTCGTTCACTCAAGCAGTTCGAAGTAAATCGCCCAACGAAGAGAAACTTTTCCTCGCCGGCCGAAAAACTATCGCCAAATTAATGCGAGGAGAGAAGTTTATCGTCACAGTACCGACTTAAAATATTTCACAAAGTTAATTCGTTTTGACTTTATCAATTGTTCTTAGTAGCACCACGGCGAAGAAATGACTCTGAATTAGCGTGCTTCCAGTTGAAATCGTTTGACAGCTTGAATCAGAATTTATGTTAAAGAGAATAAAAAGCATGTGAAGTAAAAGGAATATTCTAATCTGGAAAAAACCGATATAGGCTTTAGCAAAAATCCGGTTTTTCGTATTGCAATCTGTGTCCACCAAGTTTGTAATGGTAAGGGGACCCAGTGGAGTCCAATTCGGTCCGTAATCACGCGAGTGATAACAAATCCAACGACCGCGCTCATGCATGCTTCCAGGTTTTTCTCGTCATACCATGTCATATCATGAAGTGAAATGACTGATAGATAGATTTCAAAGTAAACAATGTTTACAGGATTTAAAGTTTGTAGTCACTTTTTTGAAGTAAAGCAAAGGAGGGTAACCTGTGATATCTGGTGTTCGATTTATTCATGAAAACGACTGAGAACAGATTTCTCAGCCTCTTAGTTCTATATTGCTAAACCTGAAATCCTGATTTCAAAATATAAATACAGAATCGCAATAAAAGGCACCCATAGTTTCTTCCACTGTTTGTCTGTTGCTTTTTTCATTCTGTAACTCGGCATTCTTTTTATAACTTCACTTATATAGCTGGAATGACTTCACACCGCATAATGACTTCTTTCCTCCAGGTTCGGCTTGGCTGTTTCTGGCTCTTTCTGTTACTTTTCAAATTCTTCTATCGACGCTTGCAGCCCCAATAGATTGCCAAAAGAACAATGTAGTCTGCTTGGAAGAAATAATGAAGGAACTCACTCAAGTTCGATTTGAGATGAACATTCTCACAGAGAACAGAACACCAATGAAATGTAAGCAAGATATTCTTCGCTCACTTGTATTCAGATAATTCCATCTTTTCTTTGTTATTACATTGTGCAGCGTGGCACATTTCATCACAGGATTCTTATTGTGCAGGATGGCGATGACAATTTATGTTTAAGAGGTCAATCTTGCGGTTCTAGAAGGCAATCATTTCGCAGCGGAACTCTTATGTTATGCAATCTTCTGTTCAAGCTGCGGTGTAGCATGATATTAAGAAGCAAAGAGCGTATTATTTATATGTTTACTTTCGTGTTTGGAACTTTGTATGGGCGGTAGACTATTTTTAGCAAGCACAACAAAGGTCGAATAGAGGAAATGTTACACAATGAAATGGGACACAATTTTTAAAATTATGTTTACACGTATTACCTTTTTTTTTTTTTTTTTTTTTTTTTTTTAACGGAAGCAAAAAACTGTGCCGAGCTGTACAAATCCGGCCGAAGGATTAGCGGTGTTTACCCGATCGACCCAGATGGTTCAGGCGCCTTCAATGTATATTGTGACCAAACTACAGCCGGTGGAGGATGGACAGTGATCCAGAAGAGGATGGATGGCTCTGTTGATTTTAACCGCACCTGGGATGACTACAAAGATGGTTTCGGTAACTTGGTCGGTGAATTTTGGCTCGGACTGAACAAGATAAACCGCCTGACACGAAACAAGACAAACAACATGCTTCGAGTAGATCTGGGAGTAACCACTGACAAAACTATTCACGCTGAGTATGGCTGGTTTGGGATTGGGACCGAGACATCTAAATACCGGTTGTACATTGGCAATATTACAAGTTAGTCAACCTTTTTTATCAGCCATCGTTGGTCTTAACATAGTTTTTCCATCTCATCATCTAGGGGCTCCCACGTAACCTGCAAAAAAATGGTTTGTTCCTACCTATTGCCGTTTGGCTATGTTTGCTGTTAATTCTACTCATACATAATTGGGTCCTCGCTCCTTTGTGGATAGTTTGCTTCCGTAACCGTTAGAGATAAAACAGTAACTGAACTTTGCTTTAGAAAAAATGTCAAATCTGATCATTTACCCGACTGCGATCTATCCAAAAAGTTTGATATTTTTCCCTACCTTGATCGATAAAAGTTAATCAATTGGTCCTTCCGTAAGCGATTAAAATTATTGTTTATGATATCTAATGCTAAGATTAATTTATTTCATCGAAACGGTATAGGGCTATTGTCTAAACCTAGTTTACATCTGTTTGATTGTTTATTTTTTTACGACAAAAATCAAGCCTGAGGCTTCACAGGCGTTATCTTGATCCTAATATAGTGGGAATTCCTTTTTTTTTTTTTCCTGTTTTGAACAGATGCGACTGTTTCTTACGATTCACTCGGTCCTCACAGAGATCTCGTTTTTGGTACCTGGGATAGAGATCCTGCCAATTGTACTCAAAATAGAGGCGGAGGCTGGTGGTATGGCAACAATAGTGATTGTGCTGTTTGGTCAAATCTCAACGGTATTTATCGGCGTTGTCGAAATGAAACCTGGGCCGATATCCAGTGGGCAAAATTAGTTCCTACCAGTGCCAAGGGCAGCGCTCCTTCTTCAACTGGAATGAAAATTAGACCAGTGGACTTTTTTTGATATCTTACGTCTGCAACTATGAGATGTGCACTGTCCATTTCATGCTTTTTGAAAAAAAAAAATTGGAATTTAGTGCCAAAAGGAAAAATCGATTGCTTTTTTCAATCTCTTTAATTCCAGAGATTCATATTTTTTAAAATCTGTATATCAGATCAATGACGGCATCATGGACTCAACAACATTTCTTTTGTAAAGTAAATACGTCTTAGCCAGCTGGTATGAGAAATATTTCATTATTTACAGACTTTCAAGATTTGTTTTAGATTCAAATTTGGATGTTAATCTTTTCATTACACCAAAATTAATTCAGAATAATTCAATTACAATGAATTTATGTATGATTCTTTTTTTAATTATTTCTAGAGTTTTTTGTTTTTTTTTTCGGTTACAATAGAACGTTATATCTACCGTATTTTCCATTTCTGATGATTTTTAAGCTTTTTATTTTAATGCAAGATTATTCAAAAGAAGAAATAAAAATTTTTAAGGCACGTTATTAATGTATTTATATAAAACACTTGTTAAGTGGGTTTCCATGATTACCCTCTAAACCTCCTCCTTTACTCAAGGATTTTCAAGCTTACAATGGTTTCTCATTTTGATATTTGCAGTGAAGCTTTTTTTCGTTGATCTGAAAAACATGTAAGATGTTGCAGTCCTCTTTTCTGAGCATGACGTAACCGCTCAAGTATTAGTTTATCATATTTCGATGATCGTTGCAGCATATTGATCGGAGGAGCTCCTACTAGATACTACGTGTAAAATGACCGGCAAAAATAATTATGTCCCAAACTAGAATAGATATTCGTAAACGGAAATGTCATCACTAACCTCTTACGGAATTTTTGGCGATGTACTTAAAATTTGAGGGGCTCAAATTGGATTAACAGAACACAGAGCATACGTTCTCAGTTTACCCATAATTGTCTGGACACTGTCCTAAATATTGATGAGACGGCTAATTTTTAAAAAAAGTGAGAAATGAAACATTCTCAAGCATCTTTCACGAAGTAACAAAGTCGTCCTGGACTGGAGTGATTCAGTCCAGTTCGTTTGAATGTCCGTGTTAACGGGGAGAGCGCTAGTTAAGTTACGAAAACACCGTCTGTTGTGTATTCAGAGGCTCTGAGGTGCCCACCATAAAATACATCTTGAATTTTTGTTTTTTTGTTTTTTTATTTTTTTTTTCGCAATCTATACTTTAAAAGTATTACAGCAGTGATTTATACTTTTCTGTTTTTCACAAATATATACTTTCCTGGTCTCCAATTAATATACAGGAGAAATATATTTTGTTAGCGCTTGTAACTTTTTCTACTAAGGAAAGAATTTCTGGTATTTTGTTTTGAACTTCTTTTAAGTCCATCATAAAGCCCACCATGAATGAAGGTCAGGGTTTCAATCATTTTTATCAGCACCCAATGTACCCGAAATAACTTTTACCGTGTCTTAAAGATTTCCTCTCTCAGATTGTGGTCAAATGCGTCTGGATTTCATTAAAACTATTTTACCAATTACCCTTTTAGCATTACAAGTTTTCAGGAGAGTGTGATCATTTGTTGGACAAAAAAGAGTGTTTAAGGCCGAGAAAGTAAAATGAGAGAAGAGTTTACTGTTTTCTCTCTATGCTTAAAACTGAGTCACTTAAGTTCGTGGAGTGAACTGTTAAATAAAGATTACGTGTTAGAAATGTGATGAAACAACGTAAGATAACACTAATCCGTGAAACCAGTGAACTTAACGGAATCATCGAGTATCACGCTGTGGCCTCAGTGAACGAGCTGAAATTGCGTGCGTATCATATGAAATATAATGATAACTGATTGATGTATTTCTTCTAATATAATACAGCTGTAAGTTATAGATTTGTACAAGCTAAGGTTGCTGGTATTGGCCCATAGATGTTCCCATGGAACTGCTCCGGTTTCTATCCAAAATTACCACAAGAAGTAGGGCAATGAAATACCGTGACCATGCCATACTGGTTTTTTTAGTGATTTAATTCAATTTTGTATTTTAACCCTTATATCGCAATTTTATTAGAAGGTGAGGACAGCTTCATCTGATTAGGGAGAATATGTTGAAACACAAAATTTGCATCCAGCAAGAATTTTCTAAATATGTGTTTATAATTCATTTAAGTGTTGTAAAATGAATTAAATAATATATAGCATTACATTGTAACACAATGATCTTTGTTTTCAGGATGTTCTCCCGCTAACATCTAATAATAAAACTTTAGGTTTTCTGTCTCGGAACGAAAATACATCAGAACGTATTTTATGAAACCGCAAGTCTTTTGGACTGATTGAAATAAATGAATTTCACACGTTTTCCTTGGTTAGGAAAGCATATAATTATTTTCGTCTCCCTCTGATCGATCTAGTCGACCGAAAGCTCAGAAATATTGGCTCTGCCAATATTGACCGCGTGGAACATGGAACTACATGACCTTGGTTACGGGCGACTCTCAATACGATTTCGGATCAATTAGGAAACGTAAAGAAATGAGTTTAAAGGGAATTCAATTTGTGCCTCTAAGACAAGAGAAATAAATAACAGAGATTTCAACTTTTTGTGCCTTACATGTAAAAGAAAGGGTAAGATCAGACAGTGTTAAGAATATTCCGGGGATTCTAACTATACGTAAGCCCACGCAATCAATTTTTGTCAATCCATCGATCAAATTCTAATCCAACTCATACACTTATGATGCCTATCGCTGTTACAATCATTACGATTAAATTATTCTCGCAATTACATTTCTCGACCTTTCTGTCACCATTCTGTAGATGTCGTCAGTTGTTTAACGATCATCTCATTTACACACGTCATCCTTGACTTGTATCCAAAGAAAGCTCCTTATTTAATTACTCTGATGGAAAAAGAGAATTTACCTTGCATCTATTCCGTGACATACACGTAATTTGGTGTTGAACGTCCTACATTGTACCAAAGCTTTGTCAACCGGGGGAAATTGTTATAATTCAAGTTCGTAGAAATAAGGTTTTGAGTGAAAGTAAGCAGGAAAGAAAGAGACAGAGCGACCAAAGAAAGCACGAAGTAAAAGGCGTAAAGCCAGTCGAGTGAAACGGCGAAGAAGTAAGAAAGGACGCTGAAGTAGGAAAAATACGGCGAGAGAGACGTGAAAGAGAACAAGAAAAGGCATAAGTAAAAAGGCAAATATCCAGCGAAGAGCAACGTAGGAAGGAAATAAGAAGAGCTCCAGAAAAGAGACTGCAAAGAGGTCATTAACAAAGAGAAAACTAACTACAAAGGATCCGAGAAAGAAAGGGAGGTAAGTTGAGTCTTATGCGGGTTTTCTCTTGCGCTAAGGACTAGAAAAATTCAAACCTTTTTTAACCAATCGTCGTTTAATACTAGCTTTACTTTATAATCTAAATCGCGTTTCGGTAAAACAATGTCTTTAGCATTCATCGCTAATTCATTTCCAAGTTAGTAAACCGGCTTTCCAGCGTCAGTCGTTGAAAGTAGTTGGTGCTTTAGGTCAGGCATTGCGCAGAGTCCCAGTCAATAGTGTGATTCATGAGTCGGTGATGTTCAGCAATATGATTGTTGACATCGCCTTTCCTCGTCGCTCGTTTGTTCGCAGTCAGTCTAATTGTGAGGTCTCTGCCGGTCTCACCATTGTAGGAGGTGTTGCAGTCGGAGGAACTGATCTTATACACTGCTCCCGTCTTTGTCTTTGACGTTAGTCAGTAACTGACGTAGTGTGGTAATAGGTTTGTGAGCGACGCGGATACTGAATGGTTGTAGGATGCACGAGATGTATGGTATAGTTGCCGTAGTCGTAAGAGTTACGTTATTGTTAGGTTCTGTAGTAGTAGGTCGGTGAGTGTTACGTTGGATGAAGTCTTCGTTGTAGTTGTTCTTTGAAAAAACACGGTCATGGTATTTGTTCTCGTCAGATAAGCTGTCTGTCGTGTTGCATACTAGTTGCGCTCTTCGCGTAAGGGTCCTAATAGTTGTGGCTTTGTGTGATGTCGGGTTGTAGGATGACTCGTCCAGTAATCTAGTAATTTAATGACTCCAGTGATACAGCATTTTGCAAAGCTGCAAACCATTTTTGATAATCTCAATACGCAAAACATCATCACGAAGCCGACGAGAACTCATCTACGCTGATTGTCACAACCCGTAGGAATTTGAGAGGCTCCACGGGAGTATTTCCACTTGGTATTTCTGATCATGATTTCATTTATGCCAGGGGACAGATAATACTGTTGCATCTATATTTACATCTCGTTATTTACAGCAATCTAATAGTTACAGAGGGCCAGTCCTCTGGAATGCAATCACATCGAAAAACTCTGATATTGCTTCTGAACCACGTAGAACTATTAGCTCTAGATTAAGTAAAATTAAAGATTTCACAGAGTTTACTTGTAAAGTAGAACCAGCTTCTACAGTTTATTTTAGCAACCAGGGTTTTAGACATTTTTAGGATTTTAAGATATTACATTAGATTTTAGTAGTTGTTAAGAGCCTTAAGCTATTTATTAAGTTTCTTATTAATTTGACTAGATAACTAAACACACGACCCCATAAGCGTTTAACTTTTATCATTCATCTTGTATAGATAAAGTTCAGGTATGTTTGTATGCATGTGTGTAATCTGTCCATAAATGTCGGTTTCCTGTAAACTGTTGTCCGTAGTGAGTTGTCATCACGGCTTTCTAGGTAGCCTAGAAAAGGCAGTTTACCATTTTCTTCGACCTTTCTTGCAAACTGTATGTCAGTGTTTTGTCCGTTAAGGTGGTGATGGAATGCATTGATTTCGTCGTGTCTTACGGCGGTGCAAGTATCGTCAACGTAGAGTAAATAAAGCGGGATTGTTTGTCGGCAAGTCGATAGGGCGCTTTCCTCGATGTTCTGTATGATAATTTCTGCTACAATGGCAAAAACTGGAGTCCCGATAGCTGAAGTGTGTAACTGTTTGTAGTGTTTATCTTTGTACTGAAAGTAATTTGACGTTAGGC